AGGACCTTGCTTTGCCTTATTTCAGAATATAATCAGTGGAGAGACAGGCGGCAAACAAATAAATACATAAAATATTTTAATAAATAATAAATAAACAATTCCTTGGTGCTGTGGGGAACATATTTGAGAAATGAGTGGCCTTCCTTTTGCTCTTAGAGCACCTATCCCATAGTGAAGGATAACAAACATATTTCTGTTTTTGGGCTTCCTGCAATTGTTTCACAGTCCCTATTTTGCTTACTCTTAAAAAAAAACAACCACTGAAAGAAACGACAATGAAAAACAGCTAACAGCCATTTGCTGAGTTGAAGAGCAGAGCTTTTCTGTAATTACTTAATGGGTTCCTGAAATACTATTTCATAAAGGCGAGACTGTGCCACCGAGCCAGATTTGGGAATGGGGGGAGGACTAGTTTGGTCACATGTTGATGGACTGGTTCATACTTAAACCAGAAATGTTATTGGAAAATGCAACCACATATTAAGAAGATATAAATAGGAAATAAAGAAGGTGATTTTCGTGAGTCTTAATAACATTAGAGCTCATTGGAAGAAATGTCAGCGGGTTAAGAAAAACAAACATTTTACATAATGCCTTTGTTTTGGGAAAAAAAAAAAAGCTTACAAATGTTATTAGGCAACGCCTGTGCAGTTTAGTATTTGAAATAGGAAGCCCTGTTTTGAATTTGAATTGTTCCAGGGTCTTTCTGTGGCAGTGTGTTCCCCATAGCTCCTCTATGCATTTTTTTGTGTGTGAAATTCCATTAGTTATGTCAGCCATAACTCATGCTGTCACCAAGCTGAAACTAATGATCATTCATTTATGACATTTTCACACCAGGCATTTTCCTCAGCAGCCGAGTAAGTGAAGCTCTTAACTAAACCAGTCCACAATCTTAATCTCTGAATTCCCCAGCTTTCTGTTCTTAGATAATAAAGGAGAAGAACTCACCTGCTATGAAATGTGTGTCATATTCTCTCTCCTGCTAATGTAAGTTCATCCATAAAACTCACCTGATACAGACGGCGTGTTTAAATTGTACTGACAATTGAATTTGGAATGCTCTAGTCTAGGTCATTGCAAAGTCATACATTTGCTTTATTTCTGTCGGGGTTTGCAAAAGCATTTAAATACATACATGTCTCTAAATAGCATTGCAAAAACATGAGACTTTTCTGGAACAGAAAAGAAACAGAAAGGAAAATCAGAAAATAAATGTTTGAAGAATCATTGCTTTCCATTTGAACCAAAACAGATTGCTTCTATCCAAAACAGGTAGAATTTTAGCCAATGATTCTCATCACAATGTACTATGTATGAATAGGCATGACTTTTAAAAATGCATAACTCATAAGTCAATTTGAAAAGAAACATAATAAAATCGATTAAATTTGTAAGCTTATTTTGTTTGCCCCCCCAACAAAGCTGAAGTTCTTTTTTTTTATTTTAAAAAACAAACTTTATTGAATTTAAAAATTTTGACAAGAAAAAAAAGAGAAAATATACAAATTTTCTCACTCATAAAATTTACATTTTCAATCCACAATTACACTAACAAACTAAATATATGTGATTATATAAACACATATATACAAATATACAAACAGTGACTTATTTACCTATTCTATCCACCTGACGATGCATTTTTTATTACTTGCATTTCCCCTAATTCTTATCTTTACCCTTTTTTCCTTTGGTTTATCCACTTATACCATCTATTCCATACTATAAAATAGAGTTAATTTATCCATTTCTGCGCATGTATAGATTTTTTGAATTACTTCCTGATCTGTTGGCATATGATCTGTCTGTGCTATAGCCAGTCTGGCCGCCGTAATTATGTGTAGTGTCAAATATTTTATGTCTTTTCTAATATTCCTTTTTATCATGCCTAATAAGAAAACTTCTGGTTCTAATTCAATTTCTTGATCTATTATTTCTACTATCCATGTTTTTATTTTTTTCCAATATTTCTTTATTTCTGGGCAAAGCCACCAAACATGGAAAAAAGTACCCTGAGCTTTTTTACATTTCCAACAAACAGGATTTACATTCGGGTACATTTTCGCTAGTCTCGAGGGAGCTAGATACCATCTGTACCAACAAAGCTGAAGTTCTAATGCATAATTCTGCAACATTGGGAAAAAAGTGATAATATTCTGAAGGTTGGTGACCTACATGAGATGGGAGAGTGAGTTCTCCCATTTTGTGCTTTAAAATCAGACTCCCTTTCTACATGATTGGACAAATTATATTTAAATATCAATTAGATATTAGATTTAGATATTGAAATCCATCATCTGAACATTTGCCCCTTTGTATAATTACTTGAGGGACGTGGTGGCTCAGTGACTAAGATGCTGAGCTTGTCAATCATAAGGTCATCAGTTCAGCGGTTTGAATCCCTAGTGCCGTGTAAGAGGGTGAGCTCCCGTTACTTGTTCCAGCTTCTGCCAACCTAGCAGTTCGAAAGCACATAAAAAATGCAAGTAGAAAAATAGGAACCACCTTTGGTGGGAAGGTAACAGAGTTTCTTGTGCCTTTGGCATTTAGTCATGCCAGCCACATGACCACAGAGACGTCTTCGAACAGTGCTGGCTCTTCGGCTTTGAAACAGAGATGAGTACCGCCCCCTAGAGTCAGGAATGACTAGCACACATGTGTAAGGGGAACCTTTACCTTTACCTCAAATTACTTAGATCATCCTCTTTCCAGAACAAACATTACTGTTTATTTCCATTGAAATGCAAGTTTTGGGGCACAGGGTACAAAACAGACATCAAATGTGTGGAAGGGGGAACAGAATCCCAATGCCCCAGTCTTCGCATTTAAGTGAATATGTATCCCTAGACAATCACATCCATATGGCTGCTTCCTGATCATCCAAACTCCCATGTGAATGCAATATACTCACATGAGATCTCTCAGTTTGATAAGCAAAACATGGAAGTTAGGAAGAAAATAGATGTGGGCAGGGCCAGTCAGAATTTTTACTACCGGTTCTCCGAACTACTCAAAATTTCCATTACTGGTTCTCCAAAACTGGTCAGAACCTGCTGAAACCCACCTCTGGTGTGTATGTGTGTGTGCCTTCAAGTCAGTTCTCATTCCTGGCAAGAGCCTAGCCTAGTCCTGCAGTTTTCTTGGCAAGGTATTTTCAGAAGTGATTTGTCCTTGCCTTCTGCCTCCCAAGACTGACAGAGAGTGACTGGCCCAAGGTCACCTAGATGGCTTTGTACTTAAGGTGGGACTAGAACTCACTGTCTCCTAGTTTCTAGCATGTTGCCTTAATGACCACACCAAACGGGCTCTGGCTCAAGTGAGAGTATTGCAACTGAGCATTCCTGCCCATGGGTCTTTGCCACCCCTACCACTAGTGGGTGGCAACCTGTAGCATGGTCTCTTAGCCCATTGGAGCAAAGTTGCACACCAGGAGATGAATATCAACAAAAAAGTAAAGATTGTGGTTTTCACCACGTGATCAAAGCTCCAGGGCTTTGGTTGCATGGTGGCATCTACCATCTTTACATTTTTATGTGCTCTCTCCTTGCACACACCCTGATTAGAATTGCTTTCCTGGTCATACTCTGTTTAATTAGAACTTCAAAATCAGAGCGAGCAATTTCTGTGTAAATAAATGAATACACGCTGCTTGATCCTTTATCATACATGGAAATTGAGTAATAATGCGGAAAACTCTCATTGGTTGCTGTGAACACTTTGAAATCTTTTGTCAATGTGGAATAATTACACAATTGTCTTCTAAGATACAGACAGATTTTTTTTTAAAAAAATCTACATATCATCATCTGCCTTATTGATAAGAAAACAGTCAGAAAACCGATTCAACATGGAAAATACATTTTCCCAAGACTTCCAGGGTTAAGACCAGTTCTATTGTTCTTTTCTCGAAATTCAGGCCTAAAACATTGTTAGGGAAAAGGTGTACATGTCTCTGTTTAATTTTTAGCCTTTTATGCACTGTGTGTAGTCTTTGTTATTTGTAAACCTTCAGCATAATGAACCATTATTTTATGATAATGTCTCCTTTGCCAGGTATCTTCTTAAAAACTTTTAATATTAAACCTTGCAGTGTTATCTTTTCTTAGGGTTGCAGAATTATTGTCTAATGCTCAAGAACATCTGTACGAAGTTGAAACATGTTAACAACAACATTAATAGAGGCAAATTAAACAAATTTTATATATGAACAAATTTGATATATGAACAGCTTTCAGTATTAATAAACATGAAGATCAAAAGGAGCCTTTTGTTAGGAGCCTGGATAGCTCAACAGACAGAAGCACTGTAACACCAGCTGTCTGCAATTAAAGTAAGATCGAATCTCGCCAGGCTCAAGGTTGACTCAGCCTTCCATCCTTTCTAAGGTAGGTAAACTGAGGACCCAGTTTGTGGGGGCAATAAGCTGACTTTGTATAAATATACAAAAGTATGAAGGCTATTGCTTAACGCACTGTAAGCCGCCCTGAGTCCGGAGAAGGACGGCATATAAATCAAATAAAAAAAAAATGAAAATAGAAGATCAAATATAATTAATGAATAAAACACGTTGTAAGATTGAAAACGAGGTAAAATATTTGGGTATCGCTATAACAAATATGAACTGCATGTTATTTCAGAGTTAAAAAGGACACATTAAGATGGGAGAAAGTAAAACTGTCATTGTTGGGGAGAAATTTTGTGATAAAAATGAAATTTTTGTCTAGAATGATGTTTTTGTTTCAGACCGTACCTGTTTTAACAACTGAGGCATGCTCCAGCACAAGAAGCATTTTATAAGGGGAATGTAAAATAAAATCAAGAAAAGAACAGGGAACTGGGATGGTAGAAGTATATATCTGAATTTGTGTGGCAGGGGGAAAATACAAATTAAATACAAGGTGTTACAAAATCCAAAGGAAAGAGAAGAATTGGGTTTAACTAATTTGAAACTATTTTGCAACTTCCAGTTTAGTTTGGATGAAAGAATGGGTGCTGATAAATAGAAGGCTCCTGGAGTTAGAAGGACATGACCTGAAATTTTGGTTGCATGGATATTTGTGGTAATTTTGGTTGCATGGATATTTGTGGTAAGTCTAAGTTATTATGGATTTTAAAAATCATAATGCTAGATGTGACATTTTGAAAATATGAAATAGATAGAAATCAAGGTTCTACCTGAAAACACCTTTGTCGCTTCAGCACAAGAAGCATATTATAAATGAGAAATAATAGTTAAACATAAATGGCTAAATTTATCATCAGATACTAGAATTTTGTTAAGGTGAATATAAAATAAAATTAAGAAAAGATCTGGGAGCAAAGGGATATAGGTGCCTATAGTTCTCTTATTTACAGATATTAGAAAGTTTTAAAATAAAGAGTTTATGAACATTATAAGACTGAGTTTGAAATACACTTTATTGAAATTTGAAACAGAAAAAGAACAAGTGAAAAATGTATGATAAAATGGGCTTAAAATGCTGGTCATAATATGCAGATGGAACAATGAGAAAATATGTAGTTGAAAAGATTAATACTGTTATCATCTTAAAGATAATTTTTAAAAATGATGTATTGCTGGTATTTGTCATCAGAGAAATTATTTAGAATGTATAAAGGCTCTTCAAATTCATGATGGAAACGTGAACAACAAGAAGGGACATTTTATCATGATTGATGGACGTGTAAAAAAGCAAGAACATTTTGGATTCAAATGCAGACACTGATTCACAGGATTTTACAGATTAAGATACAATTAAGACAGAGGTCTGTCTTTTGGGATTGATGGGAAAACAGTTGATAGCAACTAATGGCATTTTGTGTTCATATATGATGACTCAGTGAAATTACTGTATGCTCAAAATGGAAAGATTTGGAAATACCTCCAATGGAGGAATTGTTGGTGAAGATGATAGAATATTCTGAGATAGCCAAATAGACTTATTTGATTAGAGAAAAGATAATATTTATCTTTTTAAATATTTTTAAATAGATGACTAGAAACCTCTTGTGAACTTTTTGTGTAAAACAAAAAAAAATAGAATTTATATTTTTCATGATTAGACTGATAGATTATAGAAAGAACAGAGACATGTAACTTTAGAGAAAGAGGTAAATTTATAATTATACTTATAAATAGGAAGTCATTTTTTTGTAGCTTTTTTGTTTCTTTTCTATTTTTCTATCCCTTTTTCCTGCCCTTGAGCTTTTATCTTTTTATCTGATTTTTTTCTTTCCCCCCTTTATATTAATCTGGATTAGCTTTTAGCTTGATTTTTAAAAGTCTTAATAAAAGTATGTACAGTATGTATGTATGTATGTATGTATGTATGTATGTATGTATGTATAGCATTTTGGTAGCAGTGGCTGGTAGAGTTCTTATATAGACCTAAAGCCTAATGTTCACTTGTTTAAATACATTTTTGTAATACTTTAATCCTCTTCAGTCATTTCTGGAATGGAGAGAGTAGGACTAGAGCATTTGTCTCAGTCACCCCTCCAGATAGTTTTCTGGTAAATGGCTGAAAAGAGCTTTTGGCTCCAACATATTTTTTTAAAACAAGGTTTAACATAAAAAAGAAGTGATATCTGTTACAAAAATAATATCATCTAAGAACTCTGATTCAGTGCTCAATGAAGGTCTTAAATATCTTTCAGGGGTGTTTTATTAAATTATCTCCTACAAATTCATGGTAAAATTCTGCTGATTTATATTATTTTTCTGAATTGAAGCATCTCTTTCAGTGTAAATGTATTAAACTCTACTTCACCATCTCCTTATTTGGAAATCAAATGAATACTTTTTTTATTATTCAAAATAATATTTTTTTATTTTTTCCAGTATATTGGGAGAGTAGATACTTTTGATCTGGAAACATTAATGTTTGCAGTTGGCATGAATTTTATGGATTCTGAGGGAGATGGGCAGTTAAGAAATATGAAATATAAATGAATGAATGAATGAATGAATGAATGAATGAATGAATGAATTATCAATTAACATGAATATCATCAAGTTGGATTCAGCTCCTGAAGGACAGGAGCTGAAAGTTCTCCATCTCAACACATCTCTAGTAATAACTTCTAGTTCATCCAAGGACTTGCTTAGAATTTCTTGGATCCCATTCATCAACTCAATCCATTATCTTCTTCTCCTTCCTCTTCCCCTTCTCTCAGCTTCACTAGCATTTCCATTTCATTAATTAACTCCTGGGGAGTCCTTGATGTTGATTATCTGACTAGATAACTTCATTAGTGCTAGTAAGTGTGAGGATTTGCTCCCTGTTTACATATAGTAGCTTATCCTGTAAGTGTTGATGGGAGTGTGGTTTCTCTTTGGTTTTCCCTTGTTTAGAGTATTGTTTTCTTCTTGACTGTTTGTCTTCTGTTAATCCTTGCTTATCTGTTTATGGGCTGCTAAAGAAAATGTGTGCTGGTCTTTTTGTTCTTTTCTTATCCTTTTTATGATGTAGTTTGAATGTATGTATTGATGGCTGATTTGTCTGAGTGCCAAGCTTCTAGGAATTCCCTAGTGTTTTTGGATTTTACTTAGCCTAGGATGTTCACAATTTCCCAGTTGAAACTATCTGTCCTTATGAACCTTGCGTACCTAATGAAAAATGTGCAAGCAAACAACCAAGCTTAGAGAACACCAAGGCCTCCAGAGTTCAGAACACCAAGGCCTCCAGAGTTCAACTCTGGGCTACATTCTCTTCTATTGGTAGATAATTACTATAAACATGCTGACCAAGGTCATATTATCATCTTAAAGACCTTAACTTGAAAGAATTTAATACATTTTAAATAAAACAACAATATATCCATATTTGTAGCTTTCAAAACAAATCCATGATATTGCTCTATCATGTAAAAAGATTTAGGCATCTGCATTAAATGATTAGCCTTTGCCACCATCTTATTAAAAAAAAAGGAAAAAAAAGGGGTGGAAAAGATGAGGCTAAAGTAAGATTTAGTTTTTAATTCCTCAGATCTGCCAACAGGAGCTTCAGAGGCTTGGAATGTTGATGTACAAATGATAACATGTAAAACGAGAAGCCATCTAATGCCAGCCTTCTGGTCAAAGCTAGATTTAGGCTTAAAGACAGCTGGTGCCATAGCATGTGCTTGTTCATGTTCCCAAGACCCTGGAATGCCTTACAAGTAGACCCTGGGCCAAGAGAATCAATTAGTAATTTAAATAAGAACAATAAGACATTTTCAATGTGATCTTGACGGGAGAAATTTTATACAGGGCAGTATTAAATATTTGATACAGCAAGATGCTGTAGAGTTAATGGCCACCAAAAAAAAAAAAAAAGGGAAGCAAAGGAGAATGGAAAGCAATCAAAGCAAACACTCATGGAATGTTTTAAGGATTATGTAATATTTTCAGAAGCGTGTGAAGGGTTGTAAAGGAAACAGCCAAAGTATGTGTGTATGGAAGGAGGTATAATAAATGATTTATTGTTTTATGTAATTCTAAATCAGAATCTGATAACTTTCAGATACTACAGAATTGTACAATATACAGTAGTGCAAATCTTCTTTCACACTTTACCACAAACGATATCATTAAAACGATAGTTTAAATATGAAACTTTTAAAAAGCCCACTCCTTTAATATCACAACAAACATGGATGTGGCACCTGTTCTAGCAGCACTCATCCATGGACCAGACTATATAATGATAGTAAATTATATTGCCCATGCAGCCAATGGAAACCCTATTGATTAAGGTCAGATGAGCAATCAGATCTCTCTGGTATGCTTCCTCCAGATATGCTTGATATCACATTAAAATAATTTTTAAAAAATCACACTTTGAGCCCCATTACAGAAAAATGTGGGATGATTGAAATTTGAAGTGGGACAGCTCTCCGTGTTGTTGCAAAACATTCTTGGGTTCTGTCTGTCTTTAATTTTTATTTTACTCTGATCCATAGCTGTCTGAAGCATAGTATTTTTGAGGCTGTCATATCAGGGAATGCATGGTTTATAGATTATAACCTTGTTTGTTACATTGCACAAATATAATATAATTCTGATTCTACCATATAATTAATTATAAAAAGGTATATACTACCCAGTTAATCCAGCATAGCAACTTCAATTGATCAATCAATCAATCAATTAATTTATGATTGCCTCTTGAATTAAAGTAATGCTACTTCCAAGGAATACAATGAAAGATACAGCTAAACTGATTTGGACAATGCTGATTTTGTTGCATTCGTCAACTTACTACAAAAAGCACCTAAGTAAACTTCTCCTTATGTTGCTTTCTTATTTGCATTTCAAGAAAGCTAACCCTAGATGCAATTCAGGAAAAAATCTTAGGCTATATTATATATTTTTTCTCATACTGGTAAAATTGACTTGTGACCATTTTTTTCACTTATGAGCATTGCAACATCCCCATGGTCATGTGATCAAAATCCATATGCTTGGCAACTGGCTGTTATATTTATAACAATGGAAAAGGCCTGGGGTCATGTGATCACCTTTTGCAATCTTTTGACAAAATAGGAAATTCTCTTTACAATCGTGTTACTAACTTAACAACGGCAGTGACTCCCTTAACAACTGTGGCAAGAAAGGTAATAAAATGTGGCAAAACTCAATTAACAAATGTCTCTCTTAGCAACAGAAATGTTGGGTTCAATTGTGGTCGTAAGTCAAGGACTACCTGTAAATAGATTTATAAAAAGGGCTTCAAACTTCAGGATTGTGATTGCATCCTTTAAAGAATCCTAGTTTGTTACAGAGTACAATCTCTGCTTCCCCTTTCATTCATTCTTTCATTCTGATTTACAAGATAACAATTCCTTGGATTCACTGGGAAGAAAGAATACTTAGAACCAGGGGTGGGTTCTACTTATCTTTACTACCGGTTCGCAGCAGGGCCACGCATGTGTGCTCGCGCGTTCTTCTGCATGCACAGAAGCGTTTTTGTGACGTCGGGGTTGGTGGGCGGGGCCTCCCGCCGATTTTACTACTCAGTTCTATAGAACTGGTGCGAACCAGGGGCAACCCACTACTGCTTAGAACATTATGTTTGTAGGACACTTTTCTACGAAGCATTCGAAATGGCTTACAAAGGTGGTTTATGGAAGACGTACCTGCATTAAAACATAGCATGTGAGTTAATAATAAAATAATGAAGCAAAAAGCGTCTAAAAGCAAACCAGGAGTTGGTCATTTTGATAGGATACGTGTTATGCAATCATACTTTAAAATATCTTGATAGCGAGGTTCATGCATTTCCTTCGCATTTATGTCAAAGGGACAAATCGATTGACTACAAACTTTTCTTCCAGCCTTCTGCTTTCATTCTTCCTTTCCTTCTCCTGCCCAGTGCTGCTTGACATTTACCAGAACCCAGTGTGGTTTGGTGACCTTGGACATACTGTGCACTTTAATTTGTCAATTTGGGAAATTAATTTGTGGAAGAATGAGCTGAAGCCAGAGGTCGGGCAGTTGGAGTGCAGACCTGCTGACAGGTTGACTGTCCATGGGGGGCTAATGAGAACACACCCCCAAGTGAACGGAACAAAAGCAGACAGATTACACTGCCCGGTTTGTTGACTGGAATCAATAACACCAGGCAGTTGTACCCACATTTTCACTATAATTTCACCTCATGCTGCTAAAGCAGTCATTCAGAAAAAGCTCAGGCCACAGATTTTAATCAGGTTTCATAAGGATGAAGAATATTCTGGGCTGCCACCTTTAAATCAGGCGGGTCTCACTATACTTTGTGCTAGTGGCATTGCCGGAAAGGGTAGTCAGAGGACATATGGCAAACACAAGAATTAATTATTTTCATATAGCATTAGAGAGCCAGTTTGGTGTAGTGGTTAAAGGAACTGGATTTTAAGCTGGGAGACCATGAATTCTAGTCTTGTCTGAGGCATGCAAGCTAACTAGGTGACTTTGCTTAGTTTTCTTCTCAGTCCTAGAAAAAAGTTACTCGTTAACCACTTTTGAAAATGTTACCCCCAAAGCTCCATGGACCTGTTCTTACAGTCACCAGAAGTCGGTGTTGACTCAATGGACCCATAAGGACAATACAGTATTGCTTTTCATAAGTGACTCTGGATGTCTTAGCCAACCATGCTTAGACAATAGTAACATTTTGATACAAACGACAGGCACATTGGGTTGCTATATCATCATACTAGTTAAGAAGCAAAGACCAAATTTCCTACCGTGTTTCCCCGAAAATAAGACCCTGTCTTATATTTTTTGAACCCAGAAATAAGCGTTTGGCCTTATTTTCAAGGAGGTCTTATTATTTTGGAGCGCATGGAGCAAGACCAGGATCCTCTCGCTGTCCTACCTGATTTCCAGCTCTGTCTTCCTATCCTTAACCAGAGGAAATGGCGGGGACTGGCTGCGCATGTGTTTAACTAAGGCTTATTTTCAGGGGAAGACTTATTTTCAGGGGAGGGCTTATTTTCAGGGAGGGCTTATTATCCGGGGAGGGCTTATTTTTGGGGAAACATGGTAGAAAGAAAAATATGAGGGTAGATGATCTGACAGAACCCTTGTTCCTTAATGTTATCACAAGATCATGGCTCATAACCTTTATTGTGAAAGAAAGAAACTGAAAGAAATTTGCAAATGAAAACAAGCCATGAATAGCTGTTTTCTGATTTTCTGAATATGGAATTTGTAATATGACTATAGTGACAAAAATGGCCCAAATATAATTTGTGATAGAGTCAAAACTTTCCTGCTTAACTACATAACAGGAGCTGAAGAAGCTTCTTGGATGAGAAGCAAAACGTCTTCAAAGAAAAACCAGAAAGTCCAGTTGTCTCTTGAAAAAGCACCTTTGGGACAACCATGACCTGGATGACTGAGAATCTCCATATACATAACAGGAGCTATGCTACTCTAATTGTAAGAACAGTTGTTGAGCTGTTTGATTTATTCTGCTGTGTTATTGACTTCAAGAGGTATCAGCAGCTGCTGTCATTGCTCAAGTCATAGAAGTATGAACATGTAATAGATTTTATATCTACATCATTATTCTGATTTTCTTCAAAAAGAAATCTGCTTGTATCTTTTCAGCAGCAATGACCCTCTAAATACTTTTCCAATAAATATAAGTGTTTAGAACTATGCCAGCCAGCATAATATCTGTGAGGATTTTTATTTTCATATAAGAAATGTCCAGGGGTTGTTGTGATTACATTTGTACTTTGCCTAAAATTGACACTGAAAATTTTGCCAAGAAGATTGTTCAAAGAAATGTAATGCCTCCTTCCCAATAGAAATGTTCAATGGATTTTTGGCAGTCAAAATGGTTTAGGAAAAAAATTGCAATAGATAATGCATGTTCTTGGATTACAGTCAGATTTTGCATTGTAGAGTAGCACTTTCTTCTTAGTTTGCATTTTTACTTGTACAACAAGTAAAGATGTCTGTCATCTCTGGTTAGTCTTCTAATTCTGCAGAATATTCTTCTTCTTTAGCCAGACAATTGATTTTAAAATCCTGACCATCTTCAATAGCCCTGAGGAAGTAAATGTGTAAATATAGAAATACAGGGAATATAGGGCATTACATTAATTTCATGCATATGTAATGTCAAGAGAATCTATATATTGAAAGAGACTGGAGGTCAAATAATTATTTCTCTGCTCTTTTTGCATCTGCTGATTGCTGGCTGGTAGCCTTGTTCAAGGCAATTGAATTCTCCCAGGGTAATGAGGGGTCAGAGAAGCATTTGCTGGACTACTGTGAGGTTTAGGCTTAGCATCTGGCAGATAAAGATCTGATCTAAGTTGGATTCTAGCTATGCAAGTCCTACAAAGTTGACTGAGAAATGAACTTCTCTAGTTATCTTGGAGGTCTTTTAACCTGTTAGTCCTGAATGGGTCCTTGGGGCTGTTGGTGGGGCCACTTGTATTTTAGATCCACACACTTCCTGGTAGATCAGTGCACCAGAGAGAAGTCATTTGTTTGGATCCACATGATGGCACATGTTCCTTGAGAACTGGGATGGGTTTTTTTTTGGCTCTTATGAAGGCAGTGGTCTACTTCCTCCTTAAGAAGTTAAGTTACATTAAGAGTCTTAGGTTTGTACCTCCAAATGAAAGTATTCATTAGTTAATTAATCTTTAATTTGTTTTTACCTCAGGCATGTCCAAGATGGAAGCCCAGACACTTGGAGGAACACTTAAGACAATCTCAGAAACTGCGCTGATATTTTGGAAGACTTTATCCCCCAAAGATTCAGTGATTACCTCTCCACTCTGACATTGTGTGATTTTTAAAAAAATATTTCCTAGGTTATTTTGAATTAATGAAAATTTTGCTTTATCTGCTGGGACTGTTTATCTTGCACATTTATTGTATGCATATACCTCTTTTATATACTAATAAAAACTAATATTACACATATAATAATACCATGTTAGCTAATTAAACCATTCACCTTTAAGTTAATTAAGAAAAAGAAAAAAGGGAAATGAAGAGAAATACAGAGATGGCCTTTAAGTAGGTATTGTAGTTATTACAAAAAACATCAATTTAGTCAAAAAGATTGAAAGGGACGAGGAAGGAAGTGAACATTGTCCCATTTTAACACTCTTTTTTATAAGGATAGAGGGAAAAACTCTCTCAGGCTTTCAAGAGTCCGTTAAAAGAATCTTCACTTTCAGTTTTATAAGTTATATAAGTTATAATAACAAACAAACAGAGTCTCAGTTGTTCTTATAGTATCTGTTTCCTGACCTGGTTTACCTCAAACATTAAATAATATGTTATGTGACAGCCAACTTTCTAAATAGTCCGCCAACTGACATCTATGGTGATAAACATGGTTAAATATAGAAAGAGAAAAAATATGTATGAAAATGAAAGGATATAGACCTTTATAATAAAAGAAGTGTGATAAATGAAGTTGTGTTTGTTGGGCCAAAGAGGAAATAGAGGAAGAGACAGCAAAAAACTACCAAAAAGGGTGAAGAAGATTCTGGTGCTAGCCTGTGGTAATAATTAATTATGGTGTCCATTTTATTTTTAGTCTTTCATTTGGAATAACATGAATAATACTAGAAGTATTTGTGATCCTTTCACTGTAGCTTAGGATGTGGATAGGGCAATTCCACAAAGAAAACTTTTCTGCTCCTATTATATGGTTGTCTATTTTGCTTTGAGTGCCTAGCAGGAGCCATGAAGGTTGTCCTCCAACTATCTTCCCATTTTATTCCTTTATGTTTCTATATTTTTATTTATTTTTTGTTACAGTATGTCTTACATATCTCTTACATTGAGATGTGGTTTTGTTATTTTGCTTGTAAGCCACCTGGAGTCACTTTTGGTGGAATGAGCAGCTATATAAAGTTGCTAAATAAATAAACAAGCAACTTAGTAAAAAAGTGACCTATATTAGGAAACTGATAGAGATAGTGTTTGTTTCTCTTTCACGAATCCTCTATGTATTCAGAAGTTGATTGGAAGATCCACATGGGAGAAGAGATTATAAACAAATTGCCAACTTTGGCAACTTTAAGACTTGTGGACTTCAATTTCCAAAATTCTTCAACCAGTCACAAAGTGCACAAGTCTTAAAGTTGTCAAGGTTGGGCACGCCTTCATTTCCTATAGCTAGTTTTCTTTCTCATCTCACCCTTCCCAGCTGTGTTTCTATCCATGGTGGAAAAAAATAGCTCTAACCATTCCTTTCTCAGTTGGAAGGGTTCTTTTGCCTGGGTATCAAAGAAAAGAAAGATGTAAAGATGTAAAGAAAATTAAAGGATTCAGAATCTTCAACTATATGTCCTTTCCAATTCAGGGTTTTCCACCGGTGCTTTTTTGTTTTTTTAAGTAACATTTAATGTGGATACAGAATCGTCATCATTTGAGAAGAAATCTCATTAGAACAATTCTGAGTTTTTTTAAATAAACTTGCCCTTGCTTATCATTGTGCTAAACAATTATTTTTTAAAAAGTGAGTGAGATGCAACGTGTAAAGGAAGAGTTGAAAAACAACAGAGTTAATACAGGATAGAACTGCTTTTTTGAAAAGTAGTGCTTGAAAAAGTAGAATCTTGTTTTTGGAATAAGTTGATTGGAGGTTAACATTGGCAGACCACAATGTAGAGGCAACAATTCTGTGTAACCACTTTTTTACTTTGTCCAAAAAAGAGAATTTTAAAATACTGAAGCAGAAATATTGCAGAAACAGAAATCTGGACTACATTAGGCATGTTGCAATTCTTCCTATACAGCATAAATACATATTATTAAGCTGTTATTTTATGGCAGTTTTCTTGATCATATGTGCTTAACAGATTTGTTGGCATGGGCCTCTTCAGTAGGGTTGTCCAAAAAGTCAAGATGGCGTCCTCAATCACTTGACTGAAACCCCACCATTTTTTAATGTGTTCCATATAGCTACTCCTGAATTCTTGATTTTTTTTATTCCTGCAGATACACCTGTTTCTGGATGACTGCTCCTGTCACATTACAAATTTGGATTGTGAATGACAGCTCCTATCCTCAACTCATATGGAAATTGCCAGGGTGGTTAAGGCAAGATATTTAAAAGATTCTGCTGATTATTACTTAATTACAAGGTTTGTGAAAACATATCCATTGCTCATGGCTCTTAATTAAGTATACTTTTGTATTTCTATTAGCATTTCTATTTTTTTTTCCCCAAAAGATTTTTACATCATGTTTTAGCAAGCATTTGCTTCAGGCAAGCTATATGAATGAAATAGGGAAAAGAGGAAAAAGGGCATTGCTTTTGGGAAGATTATTACTGGCATAAACATTAAAGTAAATATGCTTCTTTTCACAGTCTTTTAGGTTTAGATGACAAAGAGAATAGAAAGCATTTCTTCCTCTCCCTGCTTTCTTAAAAATTAAAATTTACAGTTATATCCTGGATTGGCTGTAGGTTTTATCATATCTAAAAGAGGCTAACTGAGATTATGAGAATTTGGGCTAATCTAAGTTAGTTCCACTGAATCTAAAAGAAGATTTGGATGTGATTCATTGAAAGTGATTAGCAGTAGATTAAAAGGTAGACATCACAGTTAGTTTATGGAATGCACTACTCCAAGAAGCAGCATTAGACACTTACCTATACTAAACTTAGTAAAAAGCAATTAGACTAATTGATGGAGGATATCTTTAAGGAATATGTTGAAGAAATAGTGGATACAATTATAATACTTCTTAGTGATCCTGGGATTCTATCTACCAATCATTTCCCTTTCATAGTTTCCTAAATTCCATATACAGGACAGTATTTGGTGACCATAACCAAATACTGACCAGTGGAATGACCGTGAAATCTTGTGGCCAATGAATATATTTAATTCTTTTAGAAACAGACTCCTTATTGGAAATCAGTAAAATTACGATTATGATTATAACCTCCCCGGGAATCATCAAATGGCATAAAAGATATGATTACCACCACCTTCCTCACCACCAGCTTCCAGCAACTGGTGTCTGACTCTTCAAATATTGTGTTTTCAAACAGCAATTGCTCTCATAACCAGTAAAATAATGTATGTGTTTAAAAACTGTTAATATTTCCAAGGGGGTCAGACTGAGATAGCTAAGAGTTTCTTAAAATATGAAGCTCTCCCAAGAATCAAAAAGCAAATGTCTACTTTTGCCCAGTAAAAATGTTTTGTAGAGACCCTACCATTTTTGCAGCTTAGGAGCTGTAGAGTTGCAGTGGTTAAGAATGCGGTACTGCAGGCTAACTCTGCCCGTTGCCAGGAGATTGCTGCTGACCAGCTCAAGGTTGACCCATCCTTCCATCCTTTCAAAGTTGGTAAAATGAGGTCCCAGATTGTTGGGGGAAATATGCTGACTCTGTAAACCACTTAGAGAGGGCTATAAACACTATGGGTGATATATACCAAGTGCTATTGCTAAGTGTTAAAATTGTGTGATTAATAGATCACTGTTAAAAAATAGTTTATGAATCTTTGGGGTAGAATCAAGAGACATTACTATGTTGCATTTTTCAATAGATAGAGTGTAATCTATCCACTGAATTAAGGCCTACAGTTCTTTCTTTGCTTTGATTTAGGTCTGCAACAAGAATGTAGAAACATGATCATCCTTGACTGATTGAGAAAACAAAGCAAAACAAAACAAAAAGGCAAGTCATGGCTCATGGCAGTTTTAGCTTGGAGGTAGCCTGGTTAGATACCTCCTTATTAAAATTTTAAAAAAATACATACAAGTGGAATTATATAATTCCAAATATTAAATGCAGGCATGAAATAACTGGTTTGGATAAGATTAGAAGCTATCTCCTCATATATCATTATCCCAGTGAATACATTAATCCAAAACTCTGGAAAAACATGGTTGTGGTAAAACTACATGCCCACTTTTATCTGTGCATATGTTCAAAGAGATAACATAGCTGATGGGACCAAGTGAATACCTATCTATAAGTTACAAAAGTTGAAGAACATCAGGGCTGAAGCAGGGCTGACTATGGGTAACCTCAGGAAGCAAAAATTATGGAAAGCTATCTCGAGAGATTCATTACACCCTACAGATTTTTCCAAACTGGCTTATTAGAATTTATTTCATATCATTTCCAGACAATGTAACAGTGAAGAGTGCTGACGTGAGATTCAGTAGCAGAAGAGACATCAACAGACAAGAGACGTTCTTGCTGTCACAATATGATGGGGCTGTTTTTGAACTGGAGGTGTATTGTGCTTTGCAAACGTGACAAGCCAGTGGGTTTTTTTAATGCTTTTTACTATTCACAACAACACAATCCTGTTGTTCACCTACTGTCAGAATTCCTTCTACGTCTTCCTCCCAGTGGCTATTCTCCTCCTGCTTCCTTCTCCTTTTCTAACTTAACAAGAGAGAATGAAAAGAAAGGTATGGATTTAACTTTCTCCTGGATCTGCTGAAACTCCTACTGCTTCTCTGTTGGAGGAAGAATCTCTTTCAGGGTTTTCTGTCCCTTCCTTATCTAGAGACCAGAGCTTCACAAATGACTAACAAGTCCTATAAGGGTCCTTTATGAAAATGTCATCTGAGCCAGCTTGGTCCCTCCTTCCCTTCTTGGGTTTGGGTGAAGATATCCTGGGTAAAGATCTCCTTTATCTGGGTCTTCACTTTCTTTCTTTCAGGGAAGCTATCCAGATCTTTCTTCTCCCTCGCTGAGCACCATTTCTTCTGCATACTCATGTAACTTCTCTTTTCAACTGTTCTCTATAGCTTCTCCCTTCTTTTCTCTCCTTTTTCCCTCTCCTCTCTTATTTTGAGTCAGATGAGCAACATGTTCTCCAGGAACTGGTGAAGTTGGATATCTCCCACGACTCTAGTTTCCAACATCTACATACCAGGCTGGACCAATTATTATTATTATTTATTAAATTTGTTCGATTGATTTGTTTGACACCAATGGGACTGCTTCTCCAAAATCTCACCATAAAAGACCTGACTAGTAGCCAGGTCAGTTCATCAGCCTTCTTGACAGCACAGGAGCCCTTCAAGGCCAGAGTTGAGTTCCTCCTCCTTTTTTTTTTTATTAAATAAATTTTTATTTGTTTAAAACTACAAACAAAACAGAACTAGTGACAACAAAACATACAGAGCAAAACATGTAAACAAAGATTTCAAATATACATTTTGTCAAATATATATTGTCAAATAAACAACAGTAATATATGTTCTTATTTGTGTTTTGACTCTTCCTTGTTTGATCTTACTCATATATCTATCTTTATGATTCATTGTTAATTTATGTTAGTGATTTATGTTCCTGTTTCTGTAACTCCAATTACTCCCTATTCTTTTTTCCTTTTTCTATTTTTCAACCAGGTATACCACTTTTCCCATACTAGATAATAATCATGTTCCTCTTTATCTTGTAATTCTTTTGTAAGTCTGTCCATTTCTGCACATTCCATAATCTTATTAATTACTCTATCTTCTGTCGGTGTGTCACTACTCTTCCAATTTTGTGCAAAAATTATTCGTGCTGCTGTTATTATATGGATGATTAAATATTTTATTTCCTTTTCATATTGTCCATTTATTATACCTAGAAGAAAGGTTTCTGGTCTCATTTCTAATCTTTGTTGTGTGATTTCTTCTACTTGTGTTCTAATCATTTGCCAGTATTGTTTTGTTTTTGGACAGGTCCACCACATGTAATAATAAGTTCCTTTATAAAATTTACATTTCCAGCAAGTTGTAGAAGTGTTGGGGAACATTCTTGCCAATCTGGCTGGTGGGAGATGCCACCTATAGAACATTTTGTACATGTTTTCTTTATATGGTACAGACATTGTTAATTTATAATTTATTGTCCATAATTTTTCGCAATTGTTCCTCCTCCTTTTTCTCCCTTCATAACTGCAGCCATGTCAGGTCACCAAAAGATATGTGCCACACCTGCTGAATTCTTCACCTCATCATACTATTTCCTTTTGCAAGAGGCTTATCAGTTTTATTTGTCTTCTTTCAGCCAAGTTCTGCATCTGTAAATCATCAAAGTTGGAGCAGTTGTATATGTGCGTGGGACTTCTTTGTCAGATATTTTCAAGGCACAAACAGTGGGTGCAGAAGTTGCTAGACCAGGCTTGTTCAAGTCAGAAGGTGAACTAGTTATGCCTAAGGAAATTTCAAAACATTTTTTTTTAGTGTTGGCAGCTCCTGGCAGATGAGACAAAATAGATTGGTTGTAAAAATGAAGGATGTTGTGTAGCATGGTGACCCAACCAGTATTTTGTCTACAAATATTGTGTTAAAGAGGGCAATAGTTTTGCAAGTCTAGTCATATTCAAGCAGGGAATGATAGATTGCTCTTTTGAAGGAATGCTGCTTTTTTCAGAGAATATTATGTTGGCAGTTGTTTCCTAAGCCCCACATTTTCTGAACTGGTAAAAATAGGGGAACCCATTAATTATCTCCAGCAAATGCAGTCCTGTTTCCCCCTTATTTGGGCTTCTTTCTGGTTTCTGAGAAAGAGCCCATAGCTGTCTGGCAGAGCAACCTGACAAACTAGATCGTGGTGCATGCCAGGAAAAAAAGACCCATTTTTTTTCTAATTGTGTTAGCCAGAGAGCCAGTTTTTTCTCCCTCAGGGATTCTTATTTCTAAAAGAGAAATTATGCAATCTTATTCCCCACCCCCTCCTCAGTGGATGGCTGGAGGGATAAAGACGGTGCCTTGGTGCCTCAGGCAGGAGACAGAGTTTCATTCAAATGGTGACCATATTTACATTCAAAATCAGCAGCAGTTCTCCGGCTGAAAGAAAGCCCTGGATGGAGCATTCCATGAATGGGATATAAAGGAACCAGATTTGGATCCATGGATCTAGAGTTGTTCTATTCTATATGGATGGGCTCTGTTTGGCCAACTGTAGAGGTAGTCTAGGGAAATTCTTTTCTTCTCTTGATTGTGAGAAATAATACTAAAAAAATTACTTCTCTATTAGGTAATAGTAGCCCCACTCCTGGTGCTGGAGAAGACTCCTGTGAGTCCCTTGGGCTGCAAGGCGATCAAACCGGTCAGTCCTAGAGGAGATCAACCGTGACTGTTCTTTAGAAGGCCAGATCCTGAAGATGAAACTCAAATACTTTGGCCACTTAATAAGAAGGAAGGACTCACTGGAGAAGAGCCTAATGCTGGGAATGATTGAGGGCAAAAGAAGAAGCGGACGACAGAGAATGAGTGGAGTCACTGAAGCAATCGGCGTCAGCTTAAATGGTCTCCGGCTGGGGATGGTAGAGGGAAAGGAAGGCCTGGAGGAAAGTTGTCCATGGGATCATGAATGGTCAGACACGACTTTGCAACTAACAACAATAACAGCCCCACTCCAGTTTTTTCACTGAAGTTTATTCCTGACTTATCCAGAGAATTGTTCTATCCCAAGTGAGACCCTGTACTGACTTCTCTTGGATTAAGTTTAATGGGAAGTTCTAAGGTGGCTGGCAAAGCAAGGAGGGGGCATCACTGGACTGAACTCCAAATATTGAACTGCTGCAAAATGGAATGCTTTGGAAACAGAAAGCGTACATCCAGAATGCAAGTATTCCTCAAACTGACTTTTTATTCTGTATCCAAAGTTGGTTTTCCATAGTCTTCATGGAATTCTTTCCTGAAGAAAGGTGAGGAGAAAAAGCTTCATTTTTTCCTACTCTTTTCCAAGAAACTTATTTCTTTTCCTAGGGAGTTCCCCCCCCCTCCCCAGAAAGTTGGAGGGTCCTGGGAAGAGTATGGAAGATAGTGCAAGGGATAATCAGAAGACATGTAACATTGAAGAAGATTTTATTGGTTATTCATCCTTTCTGAAAATAGCAGTAACCTTCTGTTCACAGCATACCAAGTATGAAACTGTGGTTGCGCTCTTCCTGCTTCTGATTATTATTATTATTATTTATTAAATTTGGTTGCCACGCATCTTGCCACAAGGTGACTCTGGGGAGCTTACAACATTAAAATGAAATCATAAATATATGAATAAGTAGACAGGATCACAATTAAAAATACAATAAAATACAGATATTATTTCTAACAGGTTGTAATCATATTGAGAATCATCTCTTTAGCAACATTTGCTTGTCCAGTATAGACTAGATATTCAATAATTGTGTTCCATTGTTTTTTATTGTCTGTGCTTCACCTTGGGCTGTTGTAAATATATTGTTATTATTTTCACGCTATCTCACAAATCACATAAATTTGAAGGTCAGAATTAAGGTGGATCCCTTTCTATCTGGTAATAGTAAAATAAAGATAGAAACTTAGAAGATACCGGCAAAAAGCAAAAGCAATTTTTCTCCCCTGTTTTTACTCAGTCTTAAATTCAGTTTGTGCTGTTTATCCCTTGGCGCTTTTACATGGTTGGGTTTATGTCTACATGAGTTCCGAGCTGCCTAAATTGTTTGATTAATCTCTATATGCCAAGATCCTGTTTGTGCTCCTGGTACCGGCTGTGGAGCCTTTTCATCTGAAGGAAGTAGTTCATCGTCTGTGACTAAAATAACCAACCAGGAATCTGGCTATATTTTTAGAATACAGGATGGGCCATGGACATACCTTGGGCCTTCGCATGGATTGTTGGCTTCCTATTGCTCTACAAAGCTTTGCTAAGTAGGTCATAGAGACAACATCAACCACTATTACCTAAAATAAAATGTCACCTAAAGGTTACGTTTCCCACTGTTACAAATATCCTGTAACTTTATCATGGTGAGCCACTGCTGAGAAAGAATTAATTCCCATCACATTT